AAAAGAAGATCACCCAAATTTTGGAAAAATGAAAGAAGACAGGAAGGAAAGGGAAGAAATAAAAACAACAGCAACAAAAAAGACTAGAAACCATGTTCACGCTCAGAAACAAAACAAGAAAAAAAAAAGTCTACCGTCAGAGTAGTGGATAATCTCAGTGAGCCTGCACCTCTAATTCCACTGAACTTCAGGCTGGTTTCTGGCCATGAGGCTGGCACCAGACCCATTCAGCCTGCAGCGCTTCTTGTGCCTCCTGCCAGCTTGAACTTGACTCCCTGACCTCCTACCAACTTGAACCTGACCCTAACACTGGGAGCCAAGAGATGGAACCAGCAGTTGCTCTGAGTTCTCGGGTGGCCCCTCTCTACGATGGCTCCCAGCCAGTCGCCCTCTTCCGGTGGACAGCTTAACCCAGATACTAACCAGCCCCTATAGTCCGCTGGGTGCACTGCTTGTTCCACTGGTGCATTTCTCCATGGAGGCCTCTGAGGTCACCATAGTAACCAGTTCAAGCTGCCCCTTACTCTGAGTCCAGCTCGGTGGAAGCACTACCTGCCATCTCTTCCTACTTCTTTGAGGTGTCTCTTGTTGCTCTCACTGTGGGTTTCAATTCTTGCATCAAATCCTTCCTGGGTCCTGGGAACCCACCTCTCTCCTACTCCTCAGATTGCTATATTCCAGCATCTGGACAGCAAACATTAGAAAGGCTCTTTAAGTGTTGCTCACCACTCTGCCATCTTAGTGGAAGTCTCCATGTCACTGTTAAACAAACAATTCCAAAGTCTGATTGTTGAAAACACAAATTCTGAAGGTGGTCTAGCCTCCCCTAACTGTTCCTACCCTGGGGATCTTCAGTGGCTGGAGTCAAAGTGATGGTTGTGATCTGTTAACTTGACTGCAGTAAGAATCACCTGGCGGGGCGGGTTGGTAGAGTCTAGATGTGTCTGTCCTGCCTAGGCTCTTTTTAAATGCAGTCTGAGAATATGTATCTCTTGGTATCTGTAATACACTTAAACTCACAGATTAAAAACTGTACCCAATTGTCTGGCAGTCTCAAGTTTCACATTAGTAATGGCACGTTTATCGTTTTTCTTCTCACATGTATGTGACTGAAGAGAAAAGCTGACTAAAACTTTGTTTTCACCCTTGGTTCCCCACTGAAACCAGTGAGAATGTTGGTTACACAGGCAGTTGGATTATTGCTGGTTAGTTTTGGAACTCCTTGGCTCACCAGACTACCAGGAAAGAAAAGAAAAAACTTGGGGTGTTCTTTTTTAACTTAGACTTTTCTCCTAGCAGAACTTTCTCAGAGGATCTAGAGGATTATTGTTTTTACCTGTTACTGGCCCCATAACTGTATTGAGACATATCTGAAAAGGGAGTCTTATTAGAAAAGAAAGAAATACTTAGGGGTGTCATGAAATAAAAGCAAACTTTTGTCTCCTTCCAAAGATCATGGTAGGATCTCCAAGATGATATAGGGGAAATACATGTCACCTCTGCTCAATGTCAGCTATTCAAGTTTGTGTTCCCCAAAGTCAAAGAATGAATTCTAAGGAACAACAGAGGTTGAGAGTAGGAAAGTTTATTGAAGAATAGGAATAGGGAATAAGAATAGCTCCTGGGAGACGAGAGGGGCCCCAAATGGGTTGCCCCATTCACTTTTCTCTACTATACTGTAAGCACCCAAGTTTAAACCACCAGCTCTCTTGGGGTACTGTAGTAGTCCTTGTCAGATTCCCTGATGCCTGCTTTTTCCACATGACAGCTATCAGGATGTTCTGATGTACAGGTATGATCATTTTACTCTCTTGGTTGAATCCCACTAATGTCTTCCCATTGCATTGAAAAGAGACCTGAAAAGTCTAGCTGCTTACCAACCTAGCTTCACCTTCGGATTTATCTGTCCACCATTACTTCTCCAATGAGCACCCTCATTTCTCTAATCCTTCCAAGTATGAGTATACCCTCTATGTACTTTCCAGGCTGTCTTACTGCTGTTTCTTCTGACATGAGTGTTCTTTCCCCTCTTCCTTGCTAGCTTTCTTTTTTCCTTCATATTTTATGATAAATATCATTTTTCCAGGGAAATGTCCTTTTTCAGGTCATAAAATAAAGTCTTATTTTATATTTATTTGTTCTAGGCAATAGCTTTCTTTTCTTTGGTCTCCCTTATTTTCCAAAAGTTTGTTAAATGACTGTGGTGGTTCTGTAACTTAATGCCTTTTCCCATTAGACTGTAAAGGGATTGTGCCAATCTTGCGTGCCCATCCTAGTTCTTAATACAGTGCTCAACATGCCTTATTTGGTAATGACTTGCTTTTTTAAAAAAAATCAATCTCCACTTGGATATGTATATTTAACCCATTCACATACGTTATAATTGTTAATTACATTGAATTTATTTCTGAACTTTATTTTGTATTGCTGATTTCTTTATCTTTTTTTTTTTTTTTTCTTTCCGGTACCAGGAATCGAACTCACGACCTTGCACTTGCCGCTGAGCAGGTGCTTTGCCGCTGAGCTAAATTCCCAGCCCCTCTTTTTGTTTTTTAGTTTGTTTCATTGTTTTCAGTGAGCTGTCTGGTGCAAATTATTTTTTATTTTATATACTCTTTCTTAGTGCTTAAAGGCTTTCAGGATTTTGTTTTTAATCTTACTTTTTTGGAATGTCTTAATTTTATGCCTAGTTTTTGTTTTGGTCTCTATTTGTTATGGGTCTTCAGCTGTGTGAAATTTGCTTATGTTTCTTTGAGATGTTTATTCCATTGTTTCTACCATCTTTCTAAAATTTCTGTTAACTGAATATGAAAACATTCGGATTTATCTTCAGTGTCTATTATTTTTATGCTTTATTCTCAGAAAATGCCTTTGTTTAGTTTTTAAAATGCTGGTATTACAGGTATATACTGCCACAATTAATCATTCTTTTGCTCTTTTTATTCGGTTTAATATCATCTATACTTCCTTTTATACTGGTTAAATATTTATTTCCACAATCTGTAATAGTATTTTTCTCTGAATACAAATGATCTCTAACTTGCAGTGATTTGACTTAAACAATTTGACGTAATATTTTTCAACTTTGTAGTGATGTGGAAGAAATACAGTATGAAATCAGTTGAAACCATACTTGAGCCGGGCATGGTGGCACACGCCTGTAATCCCAACACTCAGGAGGCTGAGGCAGGAGGATCATTGCAAGTTTGAGACCAGCCTGGGCTATAAAGTGAGCTCAAGGCCAGCCTGAACTGCATAACAAGACCCTGTCTCAAAGATAAAAAAATAAACCATGCTTGTAATTTTGAATTTTGATCTTTTTCCTGGTCTAGTGATATGCAGTACAATAAATAATCTGTGGTGATGGTGGGCAGTGGGGGTGATCTATATCTCCATTCAGCCATCCCATCACAAGGGTAAACAGCTGATTCAGGGAGCACTGTGCTGTTAACATTCAGTAGGTTAAATGTATTAAATGCATTTTCAACAGAAGCTTCTATCAACTTATGATAGTGCGTTAGTCCACTTTCCTATCACTGGGGTAAAATACCTGACATATACAACTTAAAGACAAGCAACTTGATTTTGGCCCATGGTTTTACACATTGCTGTCCATGGTTGGCTGGCTCCAAGACAGAAATGGTATGGAGGAAGGCTGCTTAACCCATGGTGACCAGGAAGCAGAGGAAAGAGGAAAGGGGCAGGAATATGAATACACATTTTGAGGTCACATTTGTCAGTGACCTACCTTTCCATCCAGTCTACCTCCTAATAAAGCATTCAGCTATGGTTTCTTTAATGGATTAATCCACTGCTGAGCTTAGTGCTTCATGATCTAATCACTTTCCAAAGTTTTCACCTCTGATCATATGCGACTTTGAGGGGACCTCTCTTGGCGGGGGAGGGTGTACCAGGAATTGAACTGAGGACCTTGCATTTGCCAGGCAGGTGCTTGTGCCACTGAGCTATATCCCCAGCCCAAGGGGAAATTTTATATCTGAACCATAACAGATAGTAAGTTTATCAAGATAAATATATATATCAGCCCATGATTAAGTCGAGTGTGCTCTGTATCCTGAAGCTACCCTTTTTTACTCTTTACTGTATTTGCTGCCATTGCTATAGGATTAGTATCTTCTTGGCAATATATATTGTTTTTATAGATCCATATGCACTTGAGAATCCTTGCTAGTCTGTCTATGAATCTTGCATTTGCTTCCAGCAACTGTATGTGGGGCAAGACATGCTGCATGGTTGGGTGTGCCAAAGCAGTTGATCTAGTCTTGATTATTCCTCTTTACTTTTGGGGAATATAAGCATGCAGCCTCCCTGCTCAGTGGCACAGTTCTTTGCTGATGACATGGCAAGGAGGGAAAGCCAAAATGAGTAGCTGTTTCACCTGCAGAACTGGGCCAGTTTCCCTAAAACTTACTCCAACATCCCTTCCTGATGTATGGATTCTGTGTCTCGTCTGTTGGGAGTATTTTGGAAACTATTTTTACTTTTCATCACCACTCTGTCTGAAGAGCATATTACCTTGATTTGTTTTTCCTCTTAGTTCATTCATATCTCTTTTAGGAGTTTCTCAGAATTCTTGATCCCTTAAAACCATGTCTCCTTTGCTTATGCTGTACTTTATAAGGATTTGAAGTAAATATAGCATTTATATTTACTACATCTGAAGTCAATATAGCATTTCCGATGCATTGCTCAGAACACTCTCCTGATCAAAGCTTATGGTCAAGAATTCAGCATATGCCTGTTTAAATATGTCTTCTGTAATATATACAAAGAAATAAAATAGATCACCTTAGACTCTGATATAGACGTGACTATCTGCTAATACTAATATTCTAAGGGGTTTGTATATAATTATGTATTTCAGTGAATTTATGCGTCCTTCCTTTATCTATGAAATCAGAGAACCACAAAAGTTTTTTATTATGTGTTACTTTTGTAGCATATAGTGAAAAGCTAATTCCAATATTTTTTTCTATTAGGTTACAGCTGATGCAACCATTCTGAAAGTTCTTCAGTCCAACATTCAGCATGTGCTGCTCTATGAAAATCCCATTCTTCAGGAGAAAGCATTGACTTGTATTCCAGTCAAAGAATTAAAAAGGAAATCACAAGAAAAGTTATCCAGAGCTAGAAGTTTGGATAAAGGTAGCAGCTTTACATCATTGCTAAACAATACTGAAATAGAGCCTTTTGCTGTGTATGTTGTAAATATGACTCGTTTCTATAGAGATGTTTAAAAGTATATTAGATTTTTAATAGTATATTAGATGTATTTTTTAAAATTTTTTATATTGTGAAATACATATATGAGGAAATTTACTAGCCATTTTTAAGTGTACAGTTAAGTGCTATTTAATTTTTAAATTCTTCGTTTGTTTTTTGAGACAGGATCTCCCTATTAGTACAGCCTGGCCTCAAACTCATTGCAATCCTGCTTCATCCTCCTGAGTGCTGAGATTACAGGTGTATGCCACCATGCCCGGCAGCACTGTTAAGTGTTCATAATGCTAGATAGTCATCACCATCAGCCAGCTCCACAACTGTTTTGTCTTTTAAAGCTAAAACTGTGTATCCAGTAGGAAGTTACTTTTTATTCCCTGTCCCTCCTCCTTCCAGCCTCTGGCAACTACCATTCTGTCTCTATGATTTTCACTACTCTTATCTCGTGTAAATGTGGAATCATACAGCATTTGTATTTTTGTAACTCAGTGATTTCAGTTACCATTATTTTCTCAAGATTCATTCATGCTGTAACATTGTAGAATGTTCTTCCATTTTAAGGATGGGCAATACTCCATTATGTGTATATCCCATGTTTTGCTTCTCCTGTCATCTGTTGATGGACATTTGGGTTGCCTTCATCTTTTAGCTATTGTATGTGATGCTTCTATGAAAATGTGTGGATATATACCTAGACGTGAAATTGGTGTATCATACGGCATTTCTTGGAATTGCCATGTCATTTTACACGGTTACTATCATCTTACATTTCTATCAACAGTGCACAAAGATTTCAGTTTCTTCACATCCTCACCAGCACTTAGTGTTTTCTGTCTGTTTTATATAGTAGCCAGGGATAAGGTGGTATCTCTTTGTAGTTTTGATTTGCTTGTCCCTACTTGAGCATCATCTTCTGTGCTTCCTAGCCATTTGTGTATCTTCTTTGGACAAACGTCTATTCCAGTCTTATGAACATTATCTTGTAAAGCTGTTTTATTTTTAATCTGAATGTGTTTCCACTTTAGTCACTGATAGATGAATATTTTTAGGTTAAGTAATTTAGCACATGGAATATATGATAGGATTATTAGTTTGACTTAGTAAAATTTAATATGAATCTGACAGAAACCATTTACAGAATTAATATGTCATCAAGCTATTGTTTTACTTTTGCTAGTCTGTGTCCCATAAAATCTACTGATGGTCTCCACTGACATTGCCCCAGGATATTTCCCCCCTAGATATAAATAAAATTACTTTTTTGTTGTATATGTGTTTATGTTAACATGTACCCACACACATTCTCTCTTTCAAACCTAAGAACTTTTAATTGAAATAAGAAAGAATGAACATACTGGCTAATACTGGGCTAGTGTGAAAATAAATAAAAGATTGGGCTTTTAACACCAGAAAGGACGTGACAAGAGAGAGACCAAGAATCTCCTCCCAAGTGTAGCAAACAACATACATAGAGACAGTTGTAGGGCCTGCTGCAGAGCAGTGCGAATGTAGTTTGGCTGTGTGAGGGGAGTGTGCAGGTGCTGTGGCTGCAGGTGTGAGAGGCTTTCAGTATCCTCTACTGTTCTGTTGTCTGGTGTTCTTTTCTCTTGGATAACAATCTGCTTGCTTTACATCTCTTAGTGTAATGGATGATAGGTCAGGATAAGACCATGTTTTAGCACTGATTTCAAGCAGATCAGTATATACTGGATTATCTTCAAGTTGTTTTTTTTTTTTCCCAGAAGGAATTAAAGGTAAAAAGATGTCTTATAAAGATAGAAATACAAAATAAGGACCAATGAAGGAAGCACATATCTCACCCAAACAGCTGCTTGTACACTATTGTTATGTATTGCTATTGTACATTGAACATATAACAAAAGTGATATATGCCCTGTTCATCAGAAAAGAGGGAATAAAATGACTTTTCTGGGCGGTCATGTCTTGAATACTTAATTCAGCAGGGTTAACTATTGAAGCAGATCAAAACTCTGGTTAAGGAAGATCTATCAGTAATAGCTATAAATTGGACAAATTCAAGAATACAGGGAGAGAATTGAAACATAGTAATATACTTTATATAAGAAGATGAACAGGTATTGGGATTGCAAGGGAAAGATGGAGAACTTGGTTTGGTGATAGAATTTATGGTACTTACACATAATACGACAAAGAGTTGTATATCTCTAAGGAAGATTTCAGAGATGACTGGCTAGTTTTGAACCCAGTTAAGTAGAAAATTAGAGGACTTAGCAGGAACAGACTTGACAGGAAAGCAGAATTCTAGCTTGAGATTCCTGCTGCAAATTGTGTGGACTGCCAGTGGAAAGATGGGCCTGGAATTTGGCTAAGGGGTCACACCTTGGATTCACTTCAGGGTAAGAGGTGAAGCCATGAAGGAAGAGAGATTGGCAAAATTAAAAAGACAAAGAGAGGCCGGGCGTG